TAGCAGTAACAGTGGTCGTCGACCGAGACAGCCAGAAAGCCGATGCCCACGTGTTCAACCGAGGCCCCAGAAAAGAACACGCACGATCAACGAGGTGGGCTCAAGTCGATGCTCTCCGTCATGTGGCAGGAAGGGCGTTACGACATTGACCACACGCCGGAGGCGGCGGTGGGCACGTATAACAGTACGCCGTGATGTGCTAAATCGGCAATTCGACCTCTCGCTCCACGCCCAACGTGTGTGTGGGCGACCTAACATAGTAATTCACATCCTTTCTTTTTATTTTTTGTTGTTGAAAAGTCACAGACCCTCCCAACCTACAAACTTCTGTGCTGTCCGACTCTACCCCCACTCTGTTCTCCTTCCGTTACTGTATAACCTTACTACTGGCATACCTTCCCTCCCAGCCTATTCCTACTTTTACGCGTAGTGAAATGGCAAATTCTAGCAGAGTCTATTTCGCAACCCTGCGTTCCTCGTGAGGCTCAGCCAGGTGGGGCACGCGAGCCCATTGACTCCGGCGGGGGCGGAGCCCGGGTCGGCTCTCACCACGACCACGTCGCCAACCTGCAGTTCCGTCTCGGGCGGGCCCTCTAAGGGCTGGTCTTTTAAGAGTGTGCGGCGGAGACACCCCTGCATGAGGAGGCTCAGCATCCTCCGTCGCTTGGGCTCGAGGGGGACCGGGCCAGGTTTTAGCAGCGGGCGACATACGACGGGCGCTCGAACAGCACCTCATACGGGCTGACGCCCAGGCTGACGTGCGGCGTGGAGCGTTACCGACAGATAGAGCGAAGTGGTAACAAACCAGGGACAGGAAAATGGGTAAAATCCGGTAGAGGGCTAATGATGGCAGCCCGTAGGTTGTAATGTAGCAGTAGTAAGTAGGAATATGCTGGGAGGGAAGGTATGCCAGTTGCAATGTCATACAGTAACAGTAGGGGTAGAGTCTGATAGCACAGAAGTTCGTAGGTTGGGAGGGTCCGTGATCCCTCAACAACAAAAATAAAAATAGAAAGGATGT